ATTCTAGCTGGGTTTCAAGTTCAATCTTGCTCCAGCAGCTTCCAGACACCCGCGTGTGCTTTGCAAGGCCAGCTGGAGCCACAGAGGATGCAAAGCACTTCTGCAGGTCACCTTCCCTCCCCAGCATCACAGCCAGGAAATCCCGGCATTTTAACCTTTTCCTTCCTAGGCAGACCCAAGGATAAAGCATCCAGCTGGGCTGGGAGCAGGAGCTGGCACCCACCAGTCCCCACAGTAACAGCATGGGGACAGAAGACACAACCACTGCATTTGTGGCAGGGCTGTGAGACGCGGGGACAGATTTCTGCTCTTCCCCTGAGCACTGCCAGCCCTCTGGCACTGCCAGCGGGACAGAATGAGGAGCCTGGGGAAACTGAGGCAGCGCTGCAAACCTCACCAGAGAGTGCGGGCATGCTGTCCCACTGGCCACCCACCCTCCTCCCATGGGAGGCTGCCCAGGCAGCCGAGCTGGCTGGCTGGGCTCCAGTGCCCTGTGCTGCCGGGGCACAGTGGGTTTTGCCCCGGGGAGCTCACGTTTCTGCACTGGCACCTGCCAAGGCCACCACACAGCAGCCCCAGGGCGATGGGGCAAAGGCAGCTGCCCGGGCTGGGAGCACCCACTCCAGCATCACCAGCCCCTGGCTCCAAATAAAAACCATCTCAAGGCCTCAATTCCCACTGGACACAATGCCGAGGGGAGCATGCTGCCTGGGAAAGCTTTCCAGCCCCAGCGCTTTGGCAGGGAGGCTTGGAGGAGGCAGAACAACAAGCCTTGTGTTACACCAAGTTTCCTACGGAAACGATGCTCGTGCCGGCACGCTGCGTCCCGTTTGGCACTCTCAAATCCCCCCCCCCCAACAATTGTAAGCAAGGACAGAAACCCCCATGGATACTCAGTTCCTGCAGGTTTGATGAAAATAAACAGCTTTCAGCCCACAAAGGCCAGTGCCAGTGAAGGAGGGCACAGGGCTGAACCAGAGGGCCTCCAGCTCTGCTCCTCCCATGAACACCTTTTTCATTTCTTCCCTTAAAACTGCTCCTGCAAGCTGCACGGAAGATGGGGGGGGGGGGGTGGAGCCAGCCCTGACTCAGCTCATGATGTCTCTGGTTGGGGTGGCTGCGGACATGCCTACGGGAACATCGCCCATGACCGGCACATGTGGAGCATCCCTGGAGCAGGGACAGGCTATCCCACTTTGCAAGTCGGGGTCTCCCCCCTGCCCTTGCACAGAGAGAAGAAGCCCCTTGGGAAATGGTGGGGGGAGTTGGCCCGGGGGTGCTGGGCAGCTGGCGAGCTCACGTGTCTCCCAGGCACGTGGAAATGGGGTGGGAAAGGACACGGCTCCATACGGAGCTAATGAAAGCCGGGAGGATTTCCAGCAGCTGCAGATCCCCTTCCAGCTGAGCCTCTCGCCTCGGCCATTGCGCCGGCTCCCAGCATGGACCAGGCTGCTCCGGGTTTGGGATCCAGCCTGGAGGCCCCCGGGCCAGGCTGCTGAGCTGGGCTAGACCCCAGGAAAGTCCTTCCAGCAATCTTGGGGATGGCCCCAAGGCCGGTGGGCAGGGTGGAGGGTTTCTTATGCCTGTCCAACAGCTTGGCCAAAGATCCTGCTTTTTTACTGCTGCCTGAGCTGGGCCGGTGCTGGGAAGGGGCGAAGGCAGCGGGTGCTGCTCTTGCCGGCGTTATTGTGCTCAGGAGAAACATCCCAGGCGTGGGACTGGGCAGGGAGATCGCCTTGGCCGACCCTATGGAAACCTGCCCTAATTTGGCTGGGTTTTAATCCTTGGAGGGAGTGGAAGAATCCCTGTCAGCTCCTCTGGTTTGAGCCGGGGATGTGGGTGCATGGGCACCTCCCGGCTGAGCCCCCCCCTTAGCAAGCTCCCAGTGTGGAGCTGTGGGGAGAAGGGCTAAGGAGAGGGGACAAACCTGCCACCAGCACTAGCGAGGGCAGAGGCTGGCAGCTGCAGGGACGGGGTGTTGCGGTGGAGGGGGTTCCCTTTCAAGGGTGCATAAATCCCCCCTGGAAAGCACATGCCAAAATCCCCCCTCCGAGGTGCAGGACCCAGCCTCAGCTCCTGCAGCTGCCGACAGCAGAAGTGGGCACATCTCCGGGGCATTTTGGTGTTGCCCTTTGCAGGGGGTCCACAAGCCACAGCTTGGCCCAGGGAGCCCTTGGGCAGAGGCAACATTTGGGGTTGGGGGGAGCAAACCTGCTCCCCCTATTTTGGCTGCTCAGCTTTGCCCCCTCTGCCCAGCACCAGCCCCACGGAGGGAGCTGCCTCTTGCAGCCTAATTTTGGTGCAAGGGGAAGTCCTCTCACAGCCAGGCTTTGCATCCCCCATCCTTTTCCTCCTCTCCCACTTCTTCTTCGCCCCCACCTACAGTCATCCCCGCAGGGTCAGCAGGAGACGTGTCTTGGGGTACGGTGGTGAACACCAGGTTTGGTTACCCAGATGCACCAGGGCCTTCATCCACCCCAGGCACAGGGGCTGGGGAACGTGTGCCCCTGACTTCAGCCCTGGGATGGGGTACAGCCCTGAACCCCCAGCTGGGGCTCACTCCTGGGGGGCCCATGGAGCATCCCTCCCCTTGCACCAGGCAGAGGGGTCAGAATGGGGGAAAGGCACTTAGCAAAGCTCTCTCTTCCCACCCCATCCCACTTGGCACTGGGAGCACTGGTGGTACTGGGAACCGTGTCGAGGAGGAGGAGCAGGGTCTGCTCTCTTTTCCCTTTGTCCCGGAGGGAGCAGAGCCCAGGGGCTGGAGGGGGAAAGCAGCAAGGACAGGGTGGGGGCACAGCGCTGCACCCCGGGAGAGGCTTTGGGGAGGGGGCAGCCGGAGACAAAGCGCTATCCCGCCTCCGAGCATCCCCGCTCGGCATCCCGGGGACACGCAGGACACGGGCACGGCGGAGTTGACCGTCCCCCCCCAGCACCCCAAAATCGCCCCTCGGTTTTGGCGACCCCCCCCCCAATCCCCAGCTCGTGGGGCAGGGCGGGGCCCGGAGCGATGCTCTCCGCGGGCGGAGGGGACCAGCCGGCGGGATGCTGTCCGCGTCCCCCCCCCGCTCCTTCCCCGCATCCGAGCGGAGGGACGCGGGGGTGGGGGAGGCAGCAGAGCCCTGCCCCCCCCCCCACCCCACCCTCCCCAGGGATGCTCTGCCCATCCCCACCCCCCAACTCACCTCCAGAGCCTCTCGGAGGGGGAAACTGAGGCACAGCCCCGGGGGTGGGGAGGGGCTCACAGCTGCTCGCAGCCGGGTGAGGACGAGCAGGAAACGGGCTCCGGCTTCGCAAGCAGCTGCCGGCTGGTCCGGCCTTCCCCTCCCCTCCCCTCTCCTCCTCTCTTCTCCCCTCCCCTCCCTTCCCCCACGGCCGGGGGCACCCAGGCGTCCCAGCTGCTGGAAGGCGGTACTGGGAGCAGCCCAGCTCCTGCCCGGGGAGGGGGGCAGCCCCCGGGAAGCTCCCAGCTTTGTGCTGCTGCAAATGTTGCCGCAATTGGGTTTTTCTGTAGTGCTGGAGGCTGAACTCGTCGTCGTGCCCCCCCCACCCTCACCCGCGAGCGGCAGCCCTGCCCTTCCCCACGCCGCGGGACGGGGGGGATGCGCAGCGCAACCCCGGCTGGGTTTTTTTGAATTTTGGGGTGAGAAACTGCTCTTTTTGCAAAGCAAAAGAAAAGATACGGGTGATGAAACTAAACCGCTTTGCTTTCCGCCCCGGCTCTGGCCACCGCACCGTACTTCCCCCCGCAGCCAGAAACAGAGGCCAGGAGGGAGCTGCGGGCGGAGGGGGGGACCCGCTCAGTGCCAGACCCGGACCCCAACCTGTGTCCCAGACCACCACAGCCCTCGTGGAAACTTTTGGGGTGATGTTTCCACCTGGGTCCCCCAGGTGAGAATGGTCCCAGTGGAGTGACGGTACCTTGGGGCAGAGGATGGAGCTGCTGGGGTCACCGAAGATCGCTCCTGGCTGGGTGCTTTTTGGGGTTTTTCTGGCCACGGTGTCCTCAGGGTGCTGCTGGCCGCTTGCCACGGGCCGGGGCAGGTGTCATGGCGAAGGGGCTCGTGGGCCGGTGACGCACAGGGACAACCTGCCACGAGGCTGGGGACGGTGACTCAAGGACACGGGGCGAGCCGCCGTACGGGGTGGGGGTTACGTCGACGGCTGCCCGTGAGTCACCCGTGGCACTGCCGGCGGCCACGGCGAGCGGGGCCAGCCAGCCCAGCACCTCCATCCCTCCTTCCCGCGGCCCCCTCGGGCCTCTTCCTGGGGGTCCTGGTGCAGGACCCCCCACCACAGCCTCCCTCCCAGCTCAGCCGGGGAGTGTTGAGCCCACCAGACCCCTGCAAAGCTGCTGGGTGTGAGCATAGCAGAGCCCACCCGTGTTTTGGGGCTGTGAGAGGCCAGGGCGGACACGGAAACGGGAGAAACGGGACGTCTGCGTCAAACCAGGCGATTTTCCCAGGCGCCGGAGCAGTCGGAAACAGCTCCCTCTGTTTGTGAGCCTTTTGTGGTGCCATGGGAAAGTCTGAACACTGACCCGCTCCTTCCAGCCCCAGCTTTGTCCCCCGGGCAGCAGCAAATGAGCATTAGATCTTAATTACAACTCCCCAGGCAGCAGGGACCGAGGATGTGCTGTGGAGGAGGGCGCCTGGCCAGCACAGTGGGACATGGCTCTAATGCAAACCTGCTGGCTGTGGGCAGCCTGGTCTCTGTCCCCAGCACAGGGAGACAATACGGTGGCATCCCTGCACCCCTTGGTGAGCCAAGAGAACAGGCAAACTCATAGCATTGGTGAGGGCTGCCACAGCTCCCTGAGCCTTTCACGCGTGTAAGGAGGTAAGGATCCTACCACAGGATGTTGCCCCCTGCTGCAGCATTACAATTCCCCCATTTTTCCTCCTATTTTATTATTCTAGGGTTTTGGTGTTTTATGGTACGGGGAAGGAGCAGTGATGGAGAGTGGGTGCCTCCCAGCCGCCTCCCCCTCCCTGCTCCGGTTAGGCCTTGGGCGATGCCGCAGGCTGCAGCCGCTGCAACTCCAGGACGCGGACGAGGAGGAGGAAGGCGATGCTCAGGAGAAGCAGCCAGAAGAAAACCCAGTAGTGCTGTGGGAGGAAGAGCCACGGCCGCCACAGCTCTGCCGAGGACCCCTTGGACCTGGGGAGAAGGTGACCAGGGACACTCGTCATGCAGGGGAGGAGAGCAAATCCCACCTCCTCCCCAGCTGGGGAAGAGGAGGGTGTTTAACTCAACCCCAAACCTCACTGACTCTTTTGCAAACCCAAATGCAACAAGCCCAGGGAGGGCACAGGTGACCTGCAATGCACGGGGGGAAACTGAGGCAGAGCAGGGTTGAGCCGGGGCAGCCAAGCAACATCCCAGCCTTCCGTCACCAAATCCCCCAGCCCATTTCCCATGTGCTGGCCACCGTGGGACCACAGAGAGTCCAGCAGCCGCAGGAGGAATGCTGGGCACACTCGGGGTGCTGCTCACGTCAGGCCAAGCTGCTCCAGCTCTTCGTCCCCTGCACTTGAGCCTCTGCCATCTGCCTCGGCCGCTGGCTCCCCGGTCATGGCACTGTCCTGGGCCTGTGGCTCCAGCTCACTCCTGGAGAGGGAGCGGAGAGGGTGCTGTGCCATGCCCCATGGGCCAGCAGCGGTGGGTGCCATGGCCTCCCCTCCACCCGGCATGGTTACCTCAGGGTGCTGGGCCGGCGCTGGGCCCCCTCCCTCTCCAGCTCACTGGCCAGGGCTGCTCGGCTGTCCAGGCTGGCACCTGGCTGGGCACCAAAGGTGGGAGCATCAGTGAGGACCCAGACCCCAGTAGCACCGAGCCTGGGGACACACGACAGCGGGGCACAGCTCCTGTCTGTCCCCCCTGCACGTGTCCTTACCAAGAGCTGCTTGGGGATGACGGCGATGCTGACTCTGCGGCGGGCAGACCCCTGCAATGAAGGGGCTGGGTGTGAGCACCGTGCTGGCTGTCTTCCCATGCTCCCCATCCCCTTCCCTCCCCATTGCCTCCCCAGCACAGGCAAGGGACACTGAGAAGGGACACTGCCAGCCTCCCACCGGCCCTGGCGCTAAGGGGGGAAGCCGGAGAGCTGGTGAGATGAGGAAAGGTCAAAGCCAAGAGGTTTGCGCCTGTCCTTACTGCTTCAAGCCGTGCTGGTGGGGCTGCCTAACCCCCTCCCCGAGCGCTCCCCTACCTCTTGAGCTGTAGGGGAATCAGTGCCGAATTCGAGCTGGTGCTAGAGAACAGCCAAGCCTGCGGCTCTCGCGCTATGACCCTGCAATGCAGAGGGACCTGCCTGAGATCTCCTGGATAAGCAGCCACCAAGCCCGGGCACCCTGTCTCCCCAAACCCGGGCACCCTGTCTCCCCACAGCCCTCCGAGGCTGTCCCTACATTTTGCCTCATCCCCAGCATTTCTAGCAGACCTTGCCCGCAGCAAGCAGCTGGCAGGAGTGGCATTGCCCGGGGACTAGTGGGTGCGTGGGGACCACCGGGCAAGGGAGAGCAGCAGGGCACAGGGAGGTGGTGGCTCCAGGGCCACTGAACTGGGGCCAGTTACCTGCTGGAAAGTTCGCATCAGGGGGTGAGGCCTCAGCCGTGGCTCCGCGTCATCTGGGAGCAAAGAGAAGCAGCCTTACATCACCCCCCCAAAATTAAGATGTGGCTCACGCACAGTTGCAAACTTCCCTCCTGTCGAAAGCTGTCCTGGCCACATGCTCTGTGCTTGGCACAAGTCACAGGAGTGCCTCGGCAGGGGGACCTTTTTTGCATGCACAGCGATAGCATGCGTGGGGTTTGGCATCCAGGGACAGAGCGTCCTTTGTGTGTCCCGTGCCCCCCTGCCCCGCATTCCCAGCTGGGCCACGGGACGATGGCTCTCTGGCCACCAGCACCTGCTCCCACGCTGCATCTGCTGTTACACCAGCCCCTCACATTTGTCTTTGGGTCCCAGCTGTCACCCTCCCCTGGTCCCCAGCTCATGCAACCCACCGGCTCTGCAGCGTGGGGTCACACAGACCCCCTGGAGAGGTTCGGGACCAAATCCCGCAGGGTGACCCCGTGCAAACCCCACGCAGGCCCCGGCGGCAGAGCCCACCTCACCCTGGGTCTCCGCCAGCTGCCGGTTGCGGGAGTTTTGCTGGATCAGGCGCTTCATCTCCTCCAGCTCTGCGTGCTCCCGCATGTGGTGCCGTTTCAGGTTCTCCACGTGCTGGACCATCACCTCTGCCGCTCTGCTCATCCGGGCCTCCTGAGGCCGGGCAGGATGGGAGAATCAGGCCCCCCATCTCCTGGTCCATAAGGACCCATGTCCCTGCCAGTTCCTCACTGTGCATCCCACAGTGCCTCTGCCCAGGGGGTGCAAATGCATCCCCTTCCTGCTCCCAAGGGCGAGCAGATCCCTTGCACCCTGGTATGTGCAAACATGAGGTCAACACCAGTACCACGAGGAGGAGGGACAAACCCCAGCAAGCCCAGGGATGGATCCCCAAGCCCAGCTGCAGCACCCTCCATCTTTCCCAGCCCTGGCAGGAGTCCCAGGCTACGCACAGACCTGATGTACAGCCCCCAGCTTCTCCGCAGCACTGGTTGCCCGCTCAACAGCAGCTTCCAGCACGGCCAGGCTGTGTTGCAGCTGCTCCAGCGTCTCCTTGCAACCTGCGTCAGCGCAGGATGGGCCCAGCCTCTGTGGAGGGAGACGATGGAGCTGCAGGAGCCGGGGCTTTGAGTTGTGCAAACCCTTCCGAGGCTGGATGTCCCCAGCAGATGCCAGCCCCCTGCCCTGGTGCCCACCTACCTCCAGGGCAGCCCGGCACTGCCCCAGCTCCTCCTGGATGTTTTCCTCCGCCGCGTCCCGTGCCCGTTTCTCCACTTGCACCCGTTGCCGCAGGGTGAACACGTCACATCGAAAAGCCAGGGCAAGGTGGGCAAAGGCTGCCTGTGGGGTGGGAGGGCAAGAAGTGGGACACAGGGCTAAGGGGAAGCCACCAGGGCCATGTGCTGCTGTCCCCAAGGCACAGGCAGACCTCCCTAGCATGCCACCAAGCAGGGCAGTGCTAAGGATAATTAGCGCTTGCCTTGCCCCAGCACCCATTAGGCTGCTGCATGCTGGGGACAGTCCCCATGAGATGCTAGTATGACCAAGACACGTCCCCCAGGCAGCCGATATCACTTGGAAATCCAAAGGCCTCCTGGCAAGAGCACACGCCGGGCAGACGCCAGCCTTTGCTGCAGGTCCCAGCTGACATCAGAGCCTGACTCAGCCCTGGCACTCGCAGGAAAATTATTTTTATTAGCACGGCTTCCACCACCTCCCCGGCTAAGGGCGCTCTCGGCGAGCTGCAGAGCACTTTGTGGGATTGCCGAGCGTGCAGAGGACGGACTCATCTTGCTGTGGAAATGCAGCTGCCTCCGAATGCCAACAGCATCACTGGGAAAGGGATTTGTAAGGTGGCTGCCAGAGGACTGCGGTGCCTGGAGGACAGCCAGGAGCAGGGCACAGCCCCAGGATTGTGAGCCAGCAAGGCGTCCGTCCCTCTGTCCCCCTTCCCCACCCCACCCACGGCCCCCAGCAGCCCTCACCTCCACATCCTGCTCTGTCAAAGCCACCCTGCAGAAAGAGAAGTGCTGTCAGGGATGGAGGCACCATGGAGCATTGCAGGCTGAAAATGCCCTTGGTCTGCTCCCAGGGGTGCCAGCCACCACCAGAAGTGGGGACCCAAGTGCCCCTCACCTGGAGAGCGGCTCTTGTGCAGCGGAAAAGGAGGGAAGTCCAATCCCTAGAGGACATGGTGCCCTGGGACCCCCCTGTCCTGTAGCCCCTGGAGGGACACAGGTGCTTGCTGGTCTTACCTGTGCAAGCCCAGTCTCTCCAGCACTGAGAGCTCACTGGGGAAACTCAGCAGCGGCTCCTCTGGGGTTTCTGCATCTGCAGGGAGGCAGTAATGCCATGGGAGAGACCACATGGGAAGGCTTTTCCTTGGCCTGTCTTCCTCCCTCTGCCCTCCTGTCCCGGCAGGGAGCAGGTGCCCATGGTGTGGGACCATCCCAATCCTTCCCCCAACATCAGCCGGGCTTTGGGTCCCCCCAGGCCAGTCCCCCCTTGCCCATGTCCCCACCAAGGGAGATGACCCCCATCAGGCCCCGCTGTTCCCATGCTTGTCCCCAGCTACTTCAAGCCTTCCGCTAAGAGGACCCAGCTGGCATACGGGATGGGGACTCACCCACCTTCCTCGGTCCCATCACTGTCCCTGGTGCGCACAGCCAACTCCTGCCTGTCCGTGCCTGGCACCTGGAGGGGCAACAAGGGTGCTGTTGGAGCAAACCCCTCCCTGGTGCTGGACGGCATCCCGAAAAGAGCAGCATCGAGAGGTTGGGGGTCCGGCTGAGCCCGAGGGGCCGAGGATGGAAGGGCCACCCCCAAACTGTCGTCCTCCCCTCCCTCTCACCTCGCCGATGCGCTCCACGCTCTGCTCGCTCCCGGTCAAAACCCCGTCCGGGTGCCCCTGGGGACTGCTCATACTCCCTGGGGACAGAAAGGGTGGTGGGAGCTGGGCAGCAGTGTCCCCTCCCCAGTCTGACACCACGTCAATGGAGACCCCCAAAAACACCACTGGTATTTCTGCAGCCTGCAGGCTCCCAGGGGGCACAGGCTGGCAGGTGCCCCCCAAAATACCCCTGCGGGGTTAAGGGAGCTGCAGGTAGGCTAGGCCAGGGCAGGGGGAGGAGGGCGAGGGATCTGGTACAGCGGGTGGGTTACAGCTGGCATGGCAGATCCAGGGGATGGGGTTGGGGTCCCAGGGCTGGAAGGGGTGTGGGGTTGCAGGCAGGTGCTGCCAGGCCAGGGGACACCCTCCCGCTGGACCCATGTAATGCTGCCCAGGGAGGGAGGATGCAAAACCCACCCCTTTCCCCCCATCCCCACCCTGAGCTGCCCTTACCTTCATCCGGAGACGGGGGAAGCTCGGCCAGCTCTCCCTGCTGCTCCCTGCAGAGAGAAGCCTGGGTAAACCCCAAAGAAACTCCGGCAGCAGAGGCAGCATCCCACCCCCTCTGCCCTCCCCCAGCCGCCACAGCACCCCTTCACGGGATGCTGCTCTGGACCTGGGTCCTTTCCGAGCATCCTCTGCAGCCTGCTCCGTCCCTCTCCCTGGCACGGGTGCAGCAGCCCCCTCCGCTCCCACAGCCGCCGCAGAGCCGCCACCGAGGAGCCCGCCGAAGCCGTTTCCAGCCAGCAATGAGTCACCGGCCCACGGCCGTGCTTCTCTTCAGCACATTATTTTTTTCTTTTTTTTTGCCCTGACTGCCAAGTGGACCTTGCTGCGAGCCGGCCTCTTCCCAGGCACCACAACAAACCCTGCTGCCGGCAGAGCCCGGGCGCCATCTCACGTCATCGCCACGGGGACGACAGGCCTTAGCACACGCTCTTGCCCCCCCAAAAGTGCACCGGGATGGTCTTGCCACCCCAAAACCCTGTCCTGGGTGCAAAGAAGTCCGGCAGCTCTGTAGCATCCCTGCTCGCTGGGGCCGGGGATGCTGGAGAACGCCAGGAATGGCAGGTCACCTGCGCATGGAGATTCAGGGGCTGATTTGCAAACAGCCCTCTGCGGCCTCATGCTGGAGCTCAGCACCCATCTGGGAAAGGGTTTGAACCCCCGGGCTCTGGACACGGCTGCAAAAGGCTTTTCCCTCTCCTCCTTGCAAGCCTGGGGGTCGTTCCCCGGGAGCAGTGGCCACAGGAGAAGGGGCTGCCGTGCTAAAATGATGCTTTGTGCCTCAGAGCAGGGTGATGCTCCAGCCAGCATCCCCCCTTGCCTGGCACATCCTCGCTAGCACCCCGAGAGCCGTGGGGCGAGCCTTTTGTGCACATACCTCCGAGGCAAGGGGCTGGGTCGGCAGCTCGTCCTCTGCCGCTGCCACCGTCGGCGGCCCTGGGTGAGTCCCTGCGCCTCCTCTTCCCCCTCTCCCAGCGAGGTCCCTGCGAGCGGCTTCATTTGCAAAGCGCGGAGGCTCCAGGACCAGCACACCTATCATGAGAGACACATATTAGCTGCGCACAGATGGGAGAACGCCTCTAAATGTTATATTTTTAAAGCATTTTCTCACCCAGCAGGAGCTCCAAGCTCCTCTGCTTAGTGTGGAGGCATCTGTGGGAAAAGAGGTGGGGAGGCCCGCTGCGACTCAGGGGGATGCTGCTGGGATTCGGGCGGGCACAGAGCGAGGCGAATGAGGAATTTAATACAAGCCCCATTTCTGTGCAGCGCCGAGGGTGGACTTTCCCACTCGCCGCCCCCGTTTCCCTCCCACAGGATGATCCTCGCTTGGGGCTCGTGCTGTGGGTCATCTCCGTGGGGGGAGATATGTTTGCACGCATCTACCAGTGCCAGCACCCAGTGCAGAGCGGGAGCAACCTGCTGTACCCCAGGCAGCAGACAGTCCAATCCCTGAGCATCCCCATGTCAGGCTGGCTCCCAGATAGACAAATATGAGATTCCTGAGTCCAAGGGAGCTTGGACATCTCATTTAAGCTGTTTTGCAATGTTTAAAAATCAGAGAAAGCCAGCAGAAAGTCCACAGAGTCCCTCTCCCAGCCCAGGGTAAAGTCACTGTGCAGAAGGGACTCTCCTGCAGGACATGTCTCCTTGGGAGCTGTGCCCACAGACACACAGATATGGGGCAGAAGGAGATATTTTTTTTGGCTGGGACACAAAATGCAGCAGATTGCAGGGTTCAGAGAGCAGGGACTGGCTGAAGCCCCACATGCCTGTGCAAAGCCTTGGCCAAGGTCGGTCACCCCAGCACTAAGTGTGGCCATCACCCATCTCTCAGAGCCTCCTCAGCCCTGATGGAGGAGTAAAAGCAAGCAGCACCTGGCATCTGTCAAAACAAGGCCATTTCATGCCTATACACTGGAAATTGTCCCCAACACCTCTTCCCAGGGGCTCGGGAGCCCCCAGCCACCAAGGATCAGCCAAACTCATCATCACATCAGTGAGCATCAGAGTTTTCCCGAGAGCTGGTCCCTGCTGCAAAGCACTCACTCCATAACAGCCACAGCAGACCCTGCAGCCTGCTGATTTACCACAGCTCAGCCAGCCTTACAGACACTCGCTCCTTATCATTGTTTTGCGGATGGAAATATGGGTGTACACAGCTTGTTTGCCTAGCATGGCATAAATAATCCCCCGGGAAGCCAGACCGAGCGCTTTCCCTCAGCTCGGTGACTTTACCAAATGCTCCCCGGGTCATTACCTGCCTGAACTTGTCTCAAGCAGCTGAAGATGGACGCTGGGGCCACCCCGCTCGGACGCAGCACTCGGCACCGTGGGGTCCCCGGCAGACCTAGGAGGAGGGTCAGGGGACGCGATGTGGCTGGCAGACGGTGGGTCGGGGGGTGCCAGTGCCCCACACGGTGCAAGCTGCCGGCGGCAGATTCTCCTCGGACGGGAGAGTGACTGCATCTGCTGCAGAAGGATCTGCCAGGGAAGAGCTCGATGCAAGAAGGCCTTTAAAGGACATGCACAAGAGCAGCTGGGAGCTCCCTGTGTGGGGCCGGGGCAAGCTGAGCAGTTTGCAGGTGGCCAGGCAACCTCTGCTTTCAGTGCAGGGCCAGATCCTGCACCTGCATTTTGGAAATGAGAGCTGTTACCCAGAGCTGGGAGAAACCACGACTGCTCCCTCCATGCCTGGTGTCTGCAAAGCGGAGCAGACCTGAGTCTCAGCATCTCCCTGGCAGCGGGCTCAGGGCAGGGCAGTGGCACTCAGGACTTCTGTGGAGATGGGGGAACCCCCCATGCCTTCATGGGGGGTACAGCACGAGGCTAAACCAGGATGGCTGACAAGTAGCCCCTGTAGCATTGTATTTGATGATGCAGGGAAACCACTCTGCCCAGGACCCCCATCCCTCCTGCCCCTCTCAGCAGCCCCACTTTCCCCCCAGCCATCACCCCCACTGCCCCTTCCCCTGCCCAACTTCTTTGCTCAAATCCGTCATATCCTCTAAAGCTGCTTTCTTCCCCTAATGAGCTTACATGGAGTCAGACTCGATGCTCAGCACTACAGAGGACCAGGCTGCAGGCAGGCAGCTGCTGTTAGCCCCCCCCATGCCCAGGGACCCTGATGTACCACAAAGAACAAGGCAGGTCCTTGGGGTCTGCAAATCTCTTAAGCTCTGAGAGGTCAGCCAGCAAACGGCACCTCCCAGCCCCGGGGCAGTGCTGGCCCAGCCTCATACCCATCTGCCCAGAGTGAGAGCACAGGATGCGGCCCCAGGGCCGGGAAGCAGCCAGGGAGGGCTGAGAGAGCCCATTTGCAGCTTTGAAGCAGGAGCTGTGCAGTGCCACGGTAGGATGAGGTTTTGATGAGGCCATCAACAAGGGTCCCCACCAGGTCAGGATTTCAAATGTCCCTGAACCTTCAGAGATGGGTTTTCGCCTCTTGGGGCAAACACCTCCTGCTTAGACCTGACCCAAAAGCAGAGCTGCTGAGAAATCATGAGTCGTCTTAGGGGAAGGATAGCCCCAAATTCCTGTCCTGTCTTCCCTGTAACACACTTACCTAGCAACACAAGCTGTGGCATGCATGATTAGCACCAATTAATGACAGTTAGCCCATCATAAGTTCACACTGCCAGCACCAGGAAGGCACAGGACATGCTGAAAGGCAGACTGGCACTGTCACCCTCTGCCTTATAGTCTTATATATCCTCTGCCTTTCCTTAAAAATACCTCCCCCAGGATTTCCTCTCTTCTCCAGCCCTTTTTCTGTCCATCTCCATGAGTTCCCAGGTGCAAGGGCTGCTTCTTTTTAGAGAAGGATTTGCAGAGACACACTTCTTGGAGCTAGAAAGTCACCTGGCCCAAGCAGTGAGAGGATGCTCACGGCTTGCGATGGCAGGATCCATCCCGCAGATGAGTACATCCATGCATGTCTGTCCGGAGGCAGCTGAGCCCTGGGTACTGTGCAGCAGTGATAAACTTGAGCAGCAGAGCTTCCTCCTGCCCCTTACCCCCAGTGCTTTCCCAGCAACTCAGCAAGTTTCCCAGCTGGCTAGTATCTTAAAACTGAGATGAATTCTCCAGGTATGAAGTCAGGTTTGCATTAGCACCACCAGTCCCATCACTGGGCTAACTTGCTTCTGGGCACCTCTTCGTTTCAGAAAGGGGAGACCCAAGCAGATGAGAAGACCCTTCCTTTGGGCTGAGATTCAGCAGATGGAACTCAGTGCCTCATCACCCCGATGCCATTCCCCTCCTTGAGGACCTCCCCCTACCTGCAGGGTCTGCTTGGGCATATGGGTCTAAACTATTTATTTTATTGTTGAGTGATTTTTTCTAGCCAAGCACAAGGTCTCTCCTCAACAGAGCCTGCAGTCAAGGCTCCTGTAGCAAGACATGAAAGTAAAAGTACCTTCAAAGCATGATGCCGAGCAGACACAGGGTACAAAACCAGGCAGATGGAGGACAGACACCTTTGCATATACCAGTGCCTTGCCATCAACACAGCCTGGTCCTGCTGGCCCCATCCCCACAGACACCCTGCATCCTCCCCCAAGAGCAGCAGCCTGGCACGACGCAGGCAGCAGATCAGGCTCCGTAGCCTCTGCTTTAGTGTCCTGGCAGGTCTGCAGCTGCAGTAAGTTGCTCTGTGGGAGACACAGACCTAAGGACACCATCACGTTGGTTCCCCACACCAGAATAGAACTTTTCTGCTCAAAAATTCCTCTATTCCCTCCCATGCACACGTGCTGAGGGGTTCAATAAGAGGCAATGCTCCTCTTTGCAAACCATCCCATTCAAAGAGCCTCTAAAAGCATTTACTAAAAGCACCCAGGGATTTTTATGTATTCCTATTTTTAACCTGGGATCATCGTGATTACAATCCAGCTATTGTAGGGCCTCGAACAAGCAAAAGCAGCCCAGCGCCCCATGCACAGACCTGTTCAGCAGGGATGAACAAGACGAACAAGACCCTGCTGGGAGATCTCCAGCCCAGAGAGGTGAGCAGCAGCAAGGGGCTGCGGGCTCTGGCTTTGTCCCGTATCTCCTTCCAGCAAGGTCCCACCGGCGACGCAGCAGCCTACTGCGATGGCACGTTCCTAGGGCTCCTCCTGAAGCTGAGCTGAACTTGCAGCTCCGATCACAGAGACTGTGGTCATCTGGATTATCCACTTCTCGGAGGAAAGCTGCTCAGACCAACACTGGCTGCTACTGCTGATGCGGCAAACGTGATTTATTAGGTCTGTGCAGGGGTCCCAACCACAACGCAACACCCCAGCCCTCCAGCAAATTCATCTTTGTGTGGCCCTGGTCTCCCCAGCTGACAAGGACCTGGCAGCCACCAGACTACCCAAGAGAGAACATGATTTTCTTACTATGATTAGAAGGTCATAGGCAAAAAAACAGGTAAGAAAGAGGGTTTTGCTTCTTTTGGTTCAGTTTTAAATTCCAGGTTGGAAAAAAAGCAAAGACTGCTGAGCCTTCCCCAGAGCAGTTCAGCCGTACATCTGGATGTCACAGCCACCAGATTTCAATGCAAAACTGCATCAGCATGTTGGGGATTACACGCATGTGATTAACAGGGTGTCACTGAAACACAGTTACCTCCAGGGAGAAACATGGTGACTTTATCAGCTCCCAGCATTGCTGCAGGAGGGGACACAGCAACTAGCTGGACATGCCTGCAGCTCCTGCTTGGAAATGGGCAGCCGCTCAGGGGATGGAAATGGACCATTTTCAGGGAAGCAACTGAGTTTCAGCCCTTTCCAACAAGGTGTTGCATGGACAGGGTAGTCTGGCTCGTATGTGGCTCTGATGTCTGGTATGTAACAGCCGTGGATGCAGCATTTGCATACCTCTGCCCACCCAAAGGAGGTTCTCTGCTGTCCGATCATGGCACCAAGATGCCACTTGGGGAGCAGAGATGTCATCTTATCATGAAACTGGTTCAGAAATCACTGTGGGAGGATGAGGAGGCAGCAGAGCAGACAGATAACCCATGCAATTGCATAATATTAATTTCCTTTAAAAACAAACAAACAAGCAAGCAAACCGTGAGGCCAAAAAGGGAATTCCCCTTCATACCATGAAGGAAGTAAATCTCTACAGGAGAGGAAGCAGATAAGTAACTACTACCAAACATCACAAGTAAAATGGCTGAAAATTATACACTGCCTTCTACATACAGCCTAGGAAATGTCTAAGACAAAGCTTCAGACCTTCCCCAACCCCAACCCCAATCAGGACAAGGGCAAACCCAGGCCCGGCTCTCCCTCCACTCCTGAATAATGTTCTGCTGAACTATAAAACCTGACTGATGTTTTATGCCACATCCACCTCTTTGTGCTGTTCAGGCTGGATTTTAAAGTTCTTGAGAGGTCAAGAGGAGTCAAAAAGTAAAGTTTTCCATGTGGGTGCTACCAACCACCACATAAACAAGTAGTCTTCCACCAGCACGTCTAGTGTCTCCAGGGTTTGCTTCCAGTTCTCCTAATATGACTGTTATCTCACATATACACCCCAGAGGAATCCACGGTACCTGATAAGCTGCAGCCAAGAGCAAAAACAGGGCTAAGAAGGCTCTTTCCACAAGCCAGCATAATGCTTCTCAGCAGAACAGTAACCCCTCTTGCAGTTTGCAAAGCCGATCCCTGCCTGACTACTGTTTCTTGCAAAAAACACGTAGGCTGGCCCAAAATGCAGCTCCCAGTACGTCCAGATGAGTTGGAAGCGCAAGCTGCATACAGCACGTAGCAGCCAAGAACAGCCTGTCAAAATGAGACCGTTGCCTAAAGAAACCAGTAAGCAGTTACAAAACCAAACATCCATCAGGGAGGAGATGCACACTGTGGCTGGATTTCAAACCCTTTATTGCTGCCCAGTCCATGGAGATGCTGAGGCTTCCCCATGGTGCTCTAGATATACACAGCATGCACATTCTTCCACTTCTTCAGCAGGGACACCAGGAAGCTGACGACCAGGTAAATTTTGGAGATGAGTTTGTCCTCCGTCATCTTCATGTGACCGTCAGCCACAGCCAGACTGAGCACTGGGGACAATGACAGCGAGGTCACTTCATAGAAGCTTTGCAGGGGAACTGTGAGGACTGCAGCCTGCTACCTAATAAAGCCAGAACAGCAGGCTCAGACCTTGATGATCAGGGCACAATTTCTATTTATGTCATATTTTGGGCAGCCCTACGATAGCTTCAATATACTCAGCCACTAACTCACTGGTATGCAAATACATCAACAATTTGGCTCCCTGGAGGTTTCTTTCCTCCAGCTAACATACTTTGAAGCCTCATCAGTCCACTGTCACCTAAAATAGCTTAAGAGATTCTTACTATAAAGAAATCTGTGCTCTCAGCATTAAAAGCATCACTTAATGCTTCGGTTTCATTCCTCTGGCTGGATCTAAACATTAATGAGCAAACTTGAACCAGTAACATGTCACACCTACATGTTTTAAACCCTCTTCTCCCTTTGTAGATGTAAATGTTTATGAATTTTTAAATAGTTCCTGAAATACGCAGTGCTTCAAAACCTCCATTAAAACTCTAGCACTACCTCCCTCGGAGTCCATCCACCCTCTCCCATCCTTATCTTTCCAGTCCCCCAGCCAGAAGGTGCCCAGATGAGGTTTCCAGTGGGTGTTTTCAAGGATACTGGATAGAAATCTGGAAACAGTCACGCTGTAGAAGCACTTTCTATTAGTGTATCATTAAATACCTTGCAACGACAAGTGCCATCGCCATGTGGAAAACCAGAAATGTGACACAGAGCAGGGCCGCTTGCAGGCCCCAGGAAAACAGAAAAAAAAAAGGCAGATTTAATGTGGAAAATTCAAGTTTACCAGTTCTTCATCTAAACCCTGCTCTTCTGCATCCTGAGATTTGTAAATCTCAGCAGACCAAATAAACAGATCATTGCTGCATCACCTGAAAATCAGCTTAGCCGTCGAAGAGAAAGGCCAACATGCACAAAACATACCACTTGTGCCTTGCCTCCTTTGAGCCAAGACAAAGTCATGATGGTCAACTAAGCCTAGTCCAGAATTATCATCTTCAAACAGCCTCAAATCAGTTTATGTCTTGATTCAGTGGCGTTAAGGGCATTAAGAACTAAGTAGCTGTGAACTCCACCATGCAATATTGCTTGCCAGGTGCTCTGGGCCACCACAATGTTGGAAAAAACACTTGAAATATAAAGGTTTTGGACAAGATGACTCTGCCTTGGCTACCAGGCTGCCACTGTGAGGAAGGAGGGAGGTCTGCCAGCTTTTGCAGACCTGGAGCCAGGAAGGAGCAACCTGCTTCATTAAGGGCTGACACTGGGAAGACATCGTACTTCTCAGCCCTGAGAAACAAAACAAGGGTGCAGGTACACACAGGAAATATTGCAGCCATGTCGCTCCATTTTTAACCACGAAGAGGATATAGGTTGATTCAAACAAGTAGGGACACCTGCAAACCAGACTGGTGAGACACATGGATGCTCGATCAGGCTCTTCAGATTTACAAGTTATCAGAGATGCTGGCACAGGACAGGGGACATCACGTCATCCAGCATACTCATCAAACCAAAGGGGACCTGAAAGCAGAGAAGGGCTTCTGCTTCTTCTGCAGCTTCTCACTGCCCAGTCAAGTAACGTGGGGACCTGCTCGACAGAAAACCCTTTTTTATAAGGGAACATGCAGGCAAAACAGGCAACCTTTCCTCTCTTGAGGGGAAAATGGCAGCTGGCTCGGGCCCAAGATCGCTGCAGCCCACCTTCAGGCTCTCTTCAAGTACTTGAGTGCCAACATTACTCCATTAATAATGCAAAAATAATGGATTTTTTGTTTTCCTGATTACAAAAAAGCCACCTTTTGGGCACTAACCATCTACAAAAGAGTCACCTTTATGCAATTACCCCCCTCCAGGCTATACTCTGCCCAGCCACCCCTCTCACCCGTGGGCCCAGTGCCAATGTGGAGCAATCCAGGGCTTTGCAGTGCTAAAAAAATCACCAGAAGCCAAAAAATCCTTGACTTAGTATAAAAACTACTTAGCAACAACTAAAAACATCAGTGTGTTGCCAACATTATTCTCACACTAAATCCAAAATATAACACTATACCAGCTACTAGAAAGAAAATGAACTCTAACCCAGCCAAAACCAGGACATGCCCACACCGCTGGAGGTTGGGAGAGGGAGAAGGGAGTCCCTGCCCGGAGACATCCTGCAGCCCGGCCTCTCCACAGCTCCTCCTCTGCCGCCATCTTGGGACAGCCGGGGAGGGAGGCGCCATCTTGAGCGTGGCAGGGCAGGAAGGTGGGAGCTGCCATCTTGAGTGTGGTGAGGCTGAGAGGCAGCCCAGAGACAGAGCAGACACAGAGATGACTGAAATGTATTCATTGTTTAACCAAGAAAACCTTCATCTTCAAGCCTCGGGGCATGCGTGGGGCTGGGATGGCATCGCCCAGCAATAGCCCACCTCAAACCAGGCCAGCCGAGCACAAGGCACTGCTGCAAGGCCCCAGGCAGAGGTGTGGGTGCTCTGTGTGCCACAGCCCATGCTCGCTGGTGCTCCATCACGCTGGTGGTGAAACCCAGTGAGGGACTGGGCTGCAGCTACCACCACCTAACGAGCATCCACTGCCCAAGGAAGCCATCGCCTTATGGTTCCCTTTGGCGCTCACCTGGGAGGAGGAGAGAGAAAGGAGAGAAATCAAGAAAAGGGAAAACCACCGCCAACCACACTCCGGCACAGCTTCTGCCAGCACTTGCTGGTTTCCTACCACCCGGGGCAGACCAGGAGCATGGAGGCTGCCATCCCCCCATGGAAGAGACTCCAGCCCAGCCTGGAGGGCGCAGGATCCATCTCACCTGGCTCCTTCCAGCACAGCCTGCAGTGACTTCTTCAGAGCCGCATTGCTCCGATCCAGAGCGGCAGCCAGACTGCTCTGGTGGGCTGGGGTGACCTGGGACGGAGAGGAGCAGGGAGCTCAGAGAGCTGCACTGCCAGGAGCCCACCTGAGACCTCTGGGCCAGGTCCTGGGTCAGCTGCAGCTCACCAGCTGGTCTGCAGGACCCAAGCCTCATCTTACTCACCTGGTTTTGGTACATGGTGAGCACTGCCGTCACCAGCTTGGCATAATTCAGCGACGTGGCGAAGGCCGGAGCCTGCCAGCACAGAGTCATGACTAGGAGATCAAAGAGCTTGGGGGGGAGCACCTCCTGGAAGAGAGCCACGAGCAGGGAAGAGAGCTGGTCCTTGCTCCAGTGCTGCTGGAGCCATCAAGGAAACCTGGGGGGGACAAGAGGGGGTTCCCTCACCTGCCGCCCCAGCACAGCCTGCAATACTGGCAGGAGCTTCTCTGATAAAGGCACCTCCAGGACTTGGCTGCAAAGGATGTTAAAGAGGAGATGCAATGCTCACACAGCCTCGCTGGTGCTCCTGAGCAGCTGGAGCCAGCCAGACCCATCAAGGAAGGCATGAGGGCCAAAGCAGAGCTGTCAGCCCTGTAATCTCTTACCTTAGCACCAGTCGAACACAGTCTGGCTCCAGGCACTCCTCCACGAGCTCACACACGAGCTTGGTCTGCTCAGCACCTGCAAAGGCAAAGCAGAAAGGGGAAAGCCTCCAGAGGCTGCCAAGTCCATGGGGATGTGCCTGACCCCTCCTAGCACCCCTTCACACAGGGGTACATCCCAGCTGCGACACCCAGAAACCAAGCAGTGCCCCTTCTACTGTTCAGGATAATCCAGCTTCCTTTGCCCATCTGCAGCAAGGGTTTAACTGGCACCAGTCCCTAGGAAAAGAGAATACTACTGTGGCAGGGATTCATGCAGGACCCTCTTCTCATGCCAGCAGAGCCACGCTGGGGCAGTTTTGGCCTCAGCATTAGGAGTTGTCAGGAATCCTCAAGTCCATGGAGGGATGGCAGCTGTCCTTTGGGAGAACTGATGCTGGAAACCAGCCTGGCATCCCCTCCCTCTCCCTCTCAGGCATCTGTAAAGCCACCTCCCATCCTAACTCCCAAGTGTTCACCTGCCCAGATAAAACCAGCACCATTCCTCCGTGGTTCCTAACACATATTTTGGGTGATAAAAGACTCCCAGGAGACAGCACTCTGCAGCTGGGGCTTCCCTTCCTGCTGGATGCAGCCCACAGCCCCTCTCCAGCTCCCTCAGCTGCTCCCAGAAGCCGTGCCTCCTGTGAGCCCATCGCACCTTCCCCTGGCTCCCGCAGGACCGCAGCCACCAGGACTCGACAGAAGGGCTGGGAATACTTGGAGCAAAATGAAGCGAGGGCAGCCATGAGGTGGCGAGAGGGCGGCTGGGCGAGGGACAGGACCTATGGACAGAAAAGGCAGGAGATGGGGATGATGGTGAGGAAAACTGGGTGCAGGAAACCTCTGCTGCCCTCACACTTACTCGCTGGAGGAAGAGCTGCTCTGCCAGGATGGCCGCGCTGGTGTAGCTGAGGTCAGGGGTGAGAGCCAGCAGCCAGCTGCAGAAACGCACCAGGAGGTGCTCTGGGCATGTGGAGAGCTGGAGGAAGGAGCACAGCCCCTCGAGCTGGGGACAGAAGGGACAGGGACATTAGGGACAGCAGCAGGCCCTCCACGACACCAGCAGTTGCAGCAAGGATGCTGAGGCTCACCTGGCCAGGAGAGCAGTTGTTCAGGACGTGCAGCTCAGGTGGGACACTCAGCTCTGAGTGCTGCAGGGAAACACGGTCCTTGAGTAATACACCAAATACAGCAATCCACAAAATACAGCTCCAGGGCTTTTCTCTTCCCTACCGTCCCCCACTTCAGCCAGCGCTGACCCCACAGGCTGCCCATCATACAGCAAATCCCTGCGAGGTGGAGGCAGGTATTAGTACCTGAGCCCAGAGGAGGTGGCAGCAGGGCTGTCTTTTTATCCCCCTCCAGTCATCCCTGTGAAACCCACCTTGTCTCCCATCCCTTCTGGAGGCCCCAACATGAGCCTGTTTAGACCATCAGCTCCAGAACAGAGACAGAAGCAACCACTTACATTGGACTCCTTCTGCAGCAGCATTTTCAGCCTCTGTCCATGCATCTGAGGAAAATGAGATGAAGTAACAGAAATCAGACTGTAAAGGCTCACTGGCTGGAAGGGGAAAGCAAACCCTGCCCAGTACCTGGAGAAAGGACTGGACCTCTGCTGCCAGCTCTGCCTGGGAAATCTTCCTGGGCTTCCTGGCTGCATCCTGCTGGGAGCTTTCTGGAGCAGCTCCGGCTGGGCTCTCAGCAGATCTGTCCCCTGAAGGCTCCACAGGCATCTCCTCTTCCACCCCTGCCACATCCCCACTCTCCTGGGTTCCCGGGGGGTCAAACGCTGCCTCCTCCAGCAGCAACCTTTTCCTCTCTCTCTCCTCATCCAACTCCAGGCTCTCCTCCGACACTTTCTTGTGCTTCCCACCTTGAATCGCAGAGTCAGCCACATCCCCAGTGGTACCAGGCTGCTTGCTGAAGCACCAGTTTAGTTTTCTTCGCCCCTCTGGTTTGTTCTGGGCAATTTTCTGGCACAGGCACATAAGCTGCTGCTGGCATGTGGAAGACAAGGGAGCAGGAGGTGGGGAGCACTCCTCTCCCCCTGATCCCTGCCGGAGCAGATTGCCCAGCGTCTGCACCCAGGGATCCACATGGGAATCCTGCTCCAAGGCCTGGAGCAGCTGGCTGAGGCAGCCCCCCGGCACCACGGCTTGCACCACGAGGAGCAGGGAGAAGAGGTTTCTCTGGCACACAACAGGAAGCAGCAGCAGACGTGGTTTGCTGTTAAAAAGGGAGAGGTGACAAGTCAGAGCAAAGCCCTGAGTCCTTATTGCCAACCTGCCCCGTGGAGCAGGGTCTAACGGGACTAGGAAGCGAGAGGAGGCAGCAGATGCCATTGCCAGCTTTTGCAGACACAAACTGGAAGACTGGCAGGTCCCCGCTATGATCCTGTCTTCACGTACAGACCGCTGCACGGGGGGGGAAGAGGATGCACGGTGCTGAACTGGGCACCTGATGCGTCAAACCTCCCACAAAACACTGAATTTTGGAAACGCAGCCAACTCACACAGCCAGGGCCCCCTCCAGCCCCTCCAGTGTGGGCTCCTCGGCGCAGAGAGCTGCGGTGAAGGCCTGCCAGGGAAATGCCTGCCCCGGTCCCTCATGGGCCTGGACCCGCTGCAGCATTTGGAGGGCGGCGAGCACCCCGGAGGAGCCGGAGGCAAGTGTGTGGAGCAGGAGGCGGCACGGCTTGTCGAAGCTCTGCAGCCAGGGCAGGCAGGGGGACTCCATTGCTGCTGGTGGGGGGGGAGCTTCACAGCCGCCTGCAAGAAAATTGGGGAGAGCCTGACATGGGTCACACCGAGAAAGGTGCAGGGAGGATCACTACATCCAGGTCCTGGCCAGCTGTGCTCTGGAGCAAACCTTGGAGTCCTCCCCCACCGGCAGCGGTTTTGGGGGCTGCCCTTACCTGCGCGCGGGTGGGGGGCATGATTATCCTCATCACCCGAGGATGCAGAAGCATTACAGAGGATCACAGCCAGGCCAGAGGACCGGGAGCTCCTCAGAGCCTTCGAAAACCACTTCACTTGCAGCTCCCCTCGCTGCCCTCCCGGGGGGCTGAGAGGGAAAACCCCCGAATGCTGCTGGCGGTGACCCCCCCCCCCCACTACGGCCCTCTCCTCCGGGAACAGACCGGCCCCGGGCCCGCAGCCACCCGGCCCTGGGGCTGGCCGTGCACTGCCCCGGTTATTGCGGTGCTCGGTTATCAGCTCCCGTTCCCGGGCAGACACTCACCGCGGAGAGAAGACGGAGGGCAGAGTACCCGCTGCTCCCCCCCGGGGTCTGCCCGGTGCCGGTGCCCCGGTGCCCGCCCGTACGCACTCCCCGCCCCGGGGCCGGCAGCGCGCGCCACTTCCGGCTCCGCCCCTCTAGAAAAGCCCGCCGCGTATGTAAATCAAGCCCGCATGCAAAAGTTATGCATATGAACCCTTAAAGCCAAACCCTAACATCCGCCAACTCCAGCCCTCGGGGGGTGGTGTATTCCCCCCCCCCGCCCCAGCCCCCGGAAGGAGAGCCCCCAGGCAGCGTTGCATCACACGGACCACTTTATTTCATAATTTCCAGATTTGGCTAAAAGCAGTTTAAAAGAGTGCCCCACAGCTGCCCAGCTCCCTGTAGCCCAGCCCCGTATGCATTAAATCCCCCCGCTGCTGCCCCAGCACCCAGCTCAGCACCCCCCCGTCCCGACCCCCCGAGGTCTCCCATGGGTGCAGAGCGCTGCACTGCCAAGGAAGTGAGGGCAAGAGAAGGGGGGGCTGTGCCCCACTGCCCTGAGACCCCTGCAGCTCTGTCACACACACCCCCCCCGCAGCTTCCTGGGGGAAGCAGCAATGCGGGACCTGCTGGGGGTTCAGCCATCAACACGGGGGTCGCTGATAAACACCAGTCAGACTATTTTCCCATCTGACCCCATCCCTGCAACAGCCTGCATGCCTGGAGCCCCCCCAAACCAATGCCAGGAGCAGCTGAACACATCAAAAGCAGATGCTTCCCCCTCCCAGAAGACACTTCTTTGCCATCAACAGCATCCAGGCCCAGTAGGGCACAGTGTGGCTTAGTTGGAGTTGCTGAAGTTGAAGAGCATCTCGTAGCCGTTACGTGAGTACCGAAAGTCTGCCTCCGTCAGGGTGACAGCCCATTCAAGCACGCAGATCTCGTCATCCTCCTCATCAAAGCTCTCCAAGGAAGGGCTGAACTCCTGCAGCACAAGAGAAAGGATCAGCCCCGGCCCTGAGCCGTGTTGCATGGCCATGCCATGCCCAGCCCCCCAGGACGCACCACCCCACTTACGATGGGTATTCTTGGCAGCCGGCCGGCAGGCAGCTCATGCAGGTAGATGCAGTCTGACTTGAATGGGCAGTGGCCGTGGTTCTGGACAAAGAACTTGCACCTCATTTTCCTGTGGGATTCAAAGCACAGTTGCAAGCACAGCTCCTGGAGCAGCACAGAGCCTGCAGCCCTGCAGCCTGCAGTGCCATGCACTCACCCCGTCCGCGCCTTGAAGGTTTCGATGAGCTTCTCCTTCTCACCCGCATCTGAGACCCAGTATTTGTGGGGGATGTAGTAACTGGAGGTGACCCGGCACTCTGGGCAGGCCCTGGGTGAAGGTAATGGGTGCAGGTGGGTCTCCCGAAAAGGGAGAAGGGAGTATGGGCTCAGTACCCATGATGGGTGGTCCCACCGTCACAGCCTCATCCAGCATCCCTGTCCCCATCACAGCTCCCAAGTGCCTGTTCCCAAAGGAAAGTCACTCCAATCCCAAAGCCACATCGCCAAATCCAAGGAAGGATTTTAGGTTGCAGAAGGGGTGACAGTGACCACCCTGCCATGTCCCCATCCCCACTCACTTGATGACCGTGCTCTGGAAGTCCCGGCTGCGACGCCACTTGCGGATGCAGCCCAGGCAGTACGCATGGCTGCAGTTTGGGAGGATCCCAAAGAACCGCTCCTCCGGCAGTGGCTTCTCGTACACCCGATCCATGCAGATGCCACACACCACGGCCTCACTCTGGGTCCTCAGTGCCACGGTGGGGACCAGGGCTGCCGCAGCACCCGGCTCCGTCAGGACCTGCAAGCAAAGCAGCACGGCGTGGCAACCCCCCAGCTCCATCATTGCCTCAGTCTAGGGGACCGACACGGGGTGATAGGGACTGCCTGGCTGCAGGAGACCCCCAAGCCCACCTCTGCAGGGTCAGTCCGTGTAGCTGTCTCCACCACTGCCTCTCTGGGGTCAGGAGAATTTGGATCCAGCCCTAGGCCTTGCGGTTGGGAGCCTGCAGGCAGGAGAGCTCTTAGAGGGGAAAAGCACATCCTGCTCCATCATCAAAGAGGCGGGCTGGCTGCTCGGAGAGCACAGGCTTAGCAGTTAAGGTCCCCACCCTAAAAAAGCTGCTAGGAGAGCTTTCCACAGCCCCAGCTGGGCCCTGCCCAGAGATGGAGGGAGAAGGATTTGGGTCAAGGGCAGACACATGCCCAGGATGCTCCACCATGAGCGCCCCAGTATCCTCAGCACCCCTGGGCAGCCTTGCACCTACCTGAGGCACCCTGAGCTTGTGCAGGGACAAATTCTCCACCGATGGCCCCACGGGGGATGTTACCAGGTGCTGTAATATTCTCCTTGTTTTTCTCTTCCTCCTCAACCTTCATACTTGCAAACTTGAAGGCCACGTGCGTCACAGTGGGGACAGGGTGGACCAAGCCATGCCGGGCTCCCCCCCAGCCCTGGGCTGCTGCCGCAGGCACACGGCCAGGGTCCGAGCTCCAGCGGCTGGGGGGCACGGTGGGCCTGGGGCCATAGAGGGTCCCCACCGGCACCGGCTCCTCTTGGATGTGCTCATAGCTGGAAGAGCCCAGGGACAGACAGACAGAGGGTCCCATGAGCCCAGCATGACACCTCCTGGCTCCCCGGCCCCCTTCTCACCCCTTACCTGCACTGCTCTCCGTAGCTGCAAAATCCCCTCTGGAAGTACTTGCAGATGTGGACTGACTTTCTGTCATGCGAGAAGCGGCAGCTCTGGCCCCATCGACAGGATCCACGGGCAAAATTCCTGCCAACCAGAGAAGCCGCATGGCTGGGATCAGACCCCCCTCCAGCCCCCCTCTGCCCCGCGATCCCCCCTGGGTCCCAGCTTTGCCTGGATGGGGCCATATTTTCAGAGCCCCCACGCTGGTGTCTGGGCTCAGGAGCCATCACAAGGGCAGAGCCCAGCGGGGAGCCAGGGCTCTCTCAGTCCAGCCTTATCTCCTGGCTAATTGCAAAGCAAATGAAGCGCAGGGCTGAGCTGCTGCACAAGTCTGGGGGCTCTCCCCGGGGCTGGGGGAACGTGGAGACAAGCCGGGGCTATGGAGGGCTGGGGCAGCCCCCCGGCTCCCCGTGGGGGCATGGAAAGGGGCAGGAGCCCTCGGCTGGGGGCTGACAGGGAGGGGGTGCTGGGACGGGGTGCTGCCGGGGACCCCAGCTTCGGGGGGGACAGCTGGATGGACAGGCTCTGTCCTCTCCAGCGCCTCACCCTCCAGGGGAAACGGACAGGGAGGGGGTTCAAGGGCATCACAAACCACTCTCTGCCCCCCCCAGTGGGGGGCTCACAGCCCTGTCTCCAGCCTATCTCCCCCGAAAGCTGCTCCCAGCTGCCCGCCTCCCCGCAAGCCCTACCTGCACAGGGGTCTCCGATAGCCCCCCTGGGCCCTTAATGCCCCAGATGCCACCAGCGAGCCTGGCTCCATCTCCTCCCCAGCAGCCAAGAGGGCTGGGCAACCTCCCAGGGCTATTTATGGCCTTGGATGGTGTCGTAGTTTTGGCTGGGATAGAGTTAATTTTCATCCTAGTAGCTGGTACAGTGCTGTGTTTTGGATTTAGAAGGAGAACAAAGTTGATAACGCACTGATGTTCTAGTTGTTGCTGAGCTGTATTTACACTAAGTCAAGGACTTTTCAGCTCTCTGACTGCCCTGCCAGCCCGGAGGCTGGGGGTGGGAGGGCACAAGAAGCCGGGAGGGGACACAGCCAGGACAGCTGACCCCAGCTGGCCAAAGGGGTATTCCATCCCATGGGATGTCATGTGCAGTACATAAATTAGGGGGGAAGCTGGCCGGGGGCTGCTGCTGCTGGGGAACTGGCTGGGCTTTGGTCAGCGAGCAATTGCATTGTGCATCACTTGTTTTGTATATTCTAATTCTTTTACCATTATTGTGAAATGTGTTCATCTGATTCGTGTCAATATAAACAATGCTAGGGCCGCATAATAAAATGTGACCCTCACCGTCTATGTAATCTTTAACCATTTTGTCGGTCCTCGTATAACCGCAGGCCGGGAGGAGACAGATGATATGTATATAGTTCTTTTTTGCCAGCCCCAAACCGGTTTCGTTGTTAACTGCACAGTGTTAAACAAGAGATCCTAGGGGAGAACTGAGGCATCTAAATGTATACTTAGCCTCAGAGACTGCAGTACTTAGGGTCTTGATGGGCAGTTTGTTGTATGCATTTGTTGAGGGGGAGGTGTCTGTTGTGAACTTGTTTGGGTTCTGGTGATCACAGCTGGTGCTGTGCAGGGTGTCGGCTGTTACACAGGATGCCTGCGGTCTGCCCCAGCCCTGGGGACCCTGGTCACAGATACGTTGTATAGAAGACCCTCAGCCAATGAGGAGAGTTCGAGAAGTTTCTAGGAGAACTACTGCACCCACACAACCAGGAGGTGGAGAGTCTTTTGGAAGGACACGCCTAGTATGAATATGTAACTAATGTTAGACTATAAAAGAAGCTGTTTTGTTTTTCACCGTGCGCGTCTTGGTAGAGCAGAGGCTGCCGGTGCGCCCAGCGCTGTTTGCTTGCATTTATTCATTTAATAAATTGTAAACTTTGATTGGAATCCTGTTTGAGACTAAATTCATTTATCACAATTATTATAATTATTATTCCCCCTTTCTTTTCTGTCCTATTAGACTGTCTTTATCTCAACCTGTGAATTTTACATTTTTTTCTGATTCTTTCCACCATCCCACTGCAGGGGTGAGTGAGTGAACGGCTGTGTGGCATTTAGTTGCCCACTGGGTTAAACCACGGACAGGCTGGTGGGCTCAGCCTGGTAACTGTCAGGCAGGCACAGTGGCTTAACCCTCACCCTGCTGCTCCCCCCAGCCCAGCTGGGAGCCTTAGGGCTCTCTGTGCCCCCAGATGCCTGGGAAACTCTGGGGGCATTTGTACAGCTTCCCCTGGGGAAGCTACATGGGACAGAGGGGAGAGGGAAGCCTGGGGGTCTGCAGCTGCTCCCTGCAAACTTTTGGGTGTTCAGACCCGGCCAAGAGCAGAGCCCTGTGCCAGCACATGGCCAGGCTGTCCCTGAGCCCATCCTTGCCCATCTTGGGGTGGCTGTAGCCGGCCTCAGCTCATTGCCCAGCTTCACCCCGCAGCAACCGCTACGGCAAAGATTTGGGGCAGGGAGCGTTTGGCTCTGAGGCTGGGACCTGCTGGTGCTCAGCTCTTGCTGCCTTTAGGTCTGATGGCAAATGCAGGCAGGAAAACCACAGCAGCTACAAGACCTGGGAATCATGGCAAATCCCTGGAAATCACAGCAAATCCCTGGAAATCACAGCAAATCCAGCAAATCCCATTGCCTCTGCTGGAAACCCTCCCAAGGACAGCCCCCCAGGGGCCGAGAGAATCCCACAATAAAAGGCTGGACGCTAAAGGGTTCTTAAATATTTAGTTCAGATTTATTTAAAGTCAAGTCAGTTTGTGGACACTATTTATATTATTAAAAACACTTGGAGGTTTGTACTTCTAGCAAAAATATACATTTCAGTTTGAGGGTCGTTACACTGTCGCGGAGGGAAGAGCAAAAAGTTCCCCAGGTGATGAGCACGTGAGTCCTGCATGCCGGCTACGGTGGGGGATGCCACTGGGGGCTTCGCATCCCCCCGGGCTCCATCCAGCACACGCACATCTCTGGTGCCTTCCCCAAGAGGGCTTCAAAGTGCTTTAGAAACGGTAATTCATAACACCTGTGCGAGGTAGGGAGGGGAAGGGGCTGGGTGGGCAGAGGGCAGGGAAACTGAGGCACAGCAAGAAGCCGGAGGGCGGTGGCAGCAGGGGCAGATTTGGGACCGGCCAGCCCCGTGACACGGAGGGGAAGCGCAGTGCTCTTCCCCTTTGGGTTTTAAAGGAATTATTGCACCAGGGAAATCTGCTACCCTGAAGAGGAGGAAAAGAAAATAAAACCAACTAATTTGCTCCCACAACCCCTCCTTGGGAATATAAGTATTTTAATAAGGCTGCTTGAGACACACGGGACCATGAGCTACAGACGGGTAAGTGCCACTTCTTAGGTCAGACATCATCATCCCAAGAGGGGACCGAGCCCTTCCCAGATCTGTCCTCTCTCCCAGAGACCAGGTGATGCAGCCCCCCCCGCCCCAGGCGTCCCATCCCAGGCACAGGCAGCACCGTGGCATTTCACTAGAGATGTGAGATGGTGTGAGGTAAAGTCCCAGAACGGCTCTGGACTTAGGCAGACCCCGAAGCCTGGAGCTGTACTCACACTTGGGACAGTGGCAGAGGGCAGGGCAGCTTCCCTGACCCAGCCACGCTCGCCAGGAAGCTCCTGCTCATTGTGAGCATCCCACCCTCTCCCTCCCCTTTTATAAATACCTGGCAGTTATACTGTGTTTTACAGCTGCAAAGCTCTTTGTTAGCAATGCGCTAGTTAATCCTTGTGCTCCCCCTCCGAGCAGAGAGCAGGTGACAATCCAGCTCCCTTTCACAGAGGGGAAACTGAGGCAGGGTGTTAACAGACAGATCAATGCCCTTTCAGCATCCTGAGCACTGTGGGCTGGCCATGGCTTTCACCTTGCTGGTGATGCTGAATGCTTTGCTTGCTCTGGTGCTCACAGGAGCCATGCTGCTGGGGAGCCTCTGCTGCCTGCGCTGCCCTGCAACACCCCCAGAGCCCCTCCAGGGCTGGGCAAGGGAGCTGCAGGACAAGCTGCAAGCCCTGCCACCTAAACCCTGACCAGTCCCAGGCCTGCCCCTGGCCCTGCACAAACCTTTTTGGTAACTCACATCTGTGCAGAACAGCCTGGGGAAGCACACAGATTCTGGACTCTGCTCTGAAGATGAATTTTTATGAGTCAACCCCTTTCCTTCCCACGTCCCCATCCCTACCACTCTCATACTGAGGGGCAGGCTCTCTCTGAAACGGAGGTACCAGGAGCAAGGGCTCCCACACGGCACTTGGGGGAAGGCAGAGATCACACAATCCTTCTGGGAGACACAAACACGCTGCACAGCGAGGGGGGGCTGCAGCTGAGGGTCTCTGCTAGGACAGCCCTACCCGTCTTCAAATACTCTGGCTTTTCTTTGGAAAAGAGAGAAAATTCCTTTCATTACACTGTCCTAGACTTCACGGCTCAGGACTATGTCTTCAGAGTGCAATACGAAAAAGAAAATAAAGACACGCTGTAAGTGCTGTTGCTGGCCCCACCGGATACCCGCACCATGCTCAGGTCTCCTAATGACCAGAGCATCCCCCACCGTCCCCAGGCTGCCACAGGAACCCCACCGTCCAGACATGTAAACTGGCCGGCTACTTCAGGGGCCCCAGGGAGCAGCTAAAGAGCTGGGCCCTAGTAACGGAAACAGTAGCTTATGATTTGCCTTTGTAAATTTGTTAGTGTGTGTTAACGGAAGCCCTGGCCTAGCAGGTGGTGGCTGCAAAATCTTACGGCATCTTGCCCTATGTACCGTACGTCAGGGTCACGTAGAAAAGAGTTTCCAGTAGAAGAAATGGAAGACATGGGGAAAGGTTTTCTTTGTTTCTTTACAAAGAGTCTTGATGGGAATCCATGGCTTCATTCTCATAAATAACAGGTCCTTAGTACATGTCCTTGTAGATCTCCTGCAGAAGTGGGTGCAGAGATGTCTCTGTCTCTGTCTTCTTGATCTTCTGCACCAGCTGGGCGTGCTCCGTCACCAGCTGCCGCAGGTCAGCCATCTTCTGCAGCAGCTTGGGGAAGAGGTACTGGGCATCCGGGTGGTTGGACTGCAGGTGAAACTCCAGCGCTTGCAGGATGTTGTCTTGGATCTCCTCCACCTGCTTCACGTTCATCAGGCCAGGACGGTCTGTGGAGAGGAAGCACGGTAGCTGTAGTGTTATGGTGTAGCCCTCCAAAGTACATGCTCCTCCTGGGGAAAGGGAGATGGGGACTGTAACCCACCCACCGTGACTCCAACCTCGTCAACTAGGCAAGGGGAGAAGCGTGCCCTTGGACAAAATATCCCACAAGCAGCACATGAGAAGGAGATGCCACTTCTATGCTCCTTGTTCTTGGTCCAAGCTTGCTAGGCATCACCGCCATGGAGAAGCTTTGGTTTCACTTCTTCTCTCATCCCCCTAAGACACCCCTGGCTGATCTCAGGGCCAGCTGCAGCTCGGCTCCCCCAGCCCACTCCAAACCACCTCTAAGTACAGGAGGACTCTTCCTGACACTCGCATGGCCAAGGGTGCCCGCTCACCTCCGCACAGGATAATGGCAGCCACAAACAGAGACAGGTCACTGTCATCCAGCTCCAGCGCGTTGAACTTCACAGCAAACTCAAATTTGGGCTCCATGATCTCATTGAAGGGCTTCCGCAGGCTACGCAAGAACTCGCGGGTCACGAAGCCATTCCCATTGGCCACCAACAGCCCATCCTTGTTCATGATAGAGGCCAGCATGGCGAAGATGGCCTCATGCACCCCGTACTTCAGCAGAGTCACTTGGTCGTTCAAGTAGAGGCCTATGAAGCTGGGGATACTCTTGGCAAACTCGGTGAGCTCCCGCACAGTCTCCACTGTGGTGCACTGGCAGCGGTAGAAGACATGCACCCCGATCTCCTTGTAGGGGGGAATGCCGTTCACTAGCTGTTTCCACACCAGCCCCTTTTCTGCCTGCCACAAGGTGTCCATGTCATGGATCACAAATGGCTGCTTGAAAAAGAAGCAAGCAGTTAGCAACCTGCTGCAGGCACTCGAGATATCAGCTCTGCCAAGGACACTTGCATTTGTCTGCCTGTCCCTTTGTTGTTCTCTCCCCGCTGGAGCTGACAGTGCCGGGGCAATCTGCACCCCACCCATAACAGCACAAGTCTGCAAAGCAATGGGAATTTTACCAGCGAGGGGCAGAATGTGTAGAGTCCACCTGGCTGCAGCTGGGAAATGGTGCATGTGGAACAGCTACAGCAGGAGGGAGTTGAGCAGCATCTCCCAGAGACCAGCCACCCCCCCCCCCCCCCGCCATTGGTCATGGCCAACCCCACCTGCCCTGGGGAGGGAACTTACTGGGTTGCTGCTGGCCTTCCCAGTCAAGATACCTCTCGCCTTCTTTTTGGTCATGTTGAAATTTTTCAGGTAGGCGTTGTAGATGTGCTTGGAGAAAGCTTTCAGGTCAGCCACCTGTGGGTTCTGGCAGCTGATTTCGCTCGCCGTCAGCCCCGCCACCAACTTCCTTTTCTCTGCCTCCGGCATGCGGCCAAAGCGGATTGCTGGGAAGGGGGGAAACTGGTGGGTCAGGACACTGGGGACGACCCCAGGAGAGGCATCCAGGGAGGTAGCAGTCTACTCTGCCACTGCAGACAGAGGTCTGCTGGTGAACACTTGCAGCTATGCAACACGATGCTTCTCCAGGGCTGCAGCTCCTCTGGCACTGACACCTTCATGAACCATCCGTTACTGCCAACACAGCCTCACACTAAGCTCCTATCCCCACTCCTCAGGGCTCTTGCACAAACCCTGCTTCCCACATAAACACCTTTGCTTGGCCAGGAACAAGACGGTTACACCTGAAGTTTAAAAATCCCAGCACAGAAGAGCAATCTGTGTGTCCAGTTCCCTCTGGGTCAACCTATAAGGGACAGCCATATACCAACAGCCAACCTGCATGGTGGGAACGAACAGCCCCTTCTCATACAGAAGAAGGGGATGAAGAGTCAAAAGCTCAAAGCACTGGGTTTCAAAGATGATCCCCTAGCAAGAAGAGAGCCACGGAATAAAGCAAGCTACGTACAGCCTCCCCGTGCGAATCCTTCATAGACGGGCAGATGGCCCTGTGGCACCCAGCCAACCAGGCCTGTGGACAGCAGTGACACTCACCGTTATGTGACATGCCCAGCGAGAGGCATTTCTGGAAGCGGCAGTACTGGCACTTGTTTCGGTTCTTCTTCTGAATCTTGCAGCTCCTCTCACACTTCTCATACTTCAGCTTCATACGGATCGTCCGGCGGAAGAAACCCTGCAGGAAGGCGGCACAGAGGGGGATGCAGAGCAGGAGGACAAGGGAACAGCAGTGTTAGCACCTGTGGTTTGCGACCAGGCTGATTTATTATCCCCAGGAGCCTCATGGAGGTTCAGACGGGTGGGGAGGAGGAACCCTGGGTCTCTTTGACACAAGCAGAGTCTCTGTCTCAAGGAGAGGTTGTGCGGTGGGAGAAGGGGGCTGCAGAGGAGGAACCGTGGAGGGCAGCCCATGGTCAGGTGCTGGAGAGCTGTGTGTGTGATACTGCAGGCAGCCAGCAGGGAGGGATGGAGGAACAAGCTGTGGGCCGGCCTCACCCTGCAGGAATGTCTGGCAGGACCTGGGCCGCTAACGCAGCCCCGCTGGCATCTGCTGTGGGGGAAAGAATTTCAGAGGCACATCCAAGCTGCAGCCGGTGATCCCAGGGGGATAAACACACAGCTCACTGCTGATCTGCAGCACAGAGAGCATCTTTAAAAGCAAAGCCAGAGTCCCCGTGGGGATAGATGGATTTGCCTTACCAAGTAAAGCATGACGGGGCAAGATTTGGGCCATACACATCTCAGCTGTCTCCCCCAAGACAGTATTTGCGTGTCTGCCTGTACTCTTCACACTCTCTGGACAGGTTGCAAATGAGTTTTTTACAATCACTCAATCCCACATCCCTGTTTTGCTGCAAATCTGCTTGCCTGAAGAGATGGCATGGTCCCTGGATCTAATCTCTGCTTGGCATTGCTGAACCCAGCCCTCCCCAAGGTGTACATACCTTGCAGCCCTCGCAGGCGTGCACACCATAGTGAAACCCCGAGGCTTTGTCTCCGCAGACCCTGCACTCCACATTCAATGCTCCTGAGGCTGCCTCCTCACAGCCCATCTGCAGTTGGTCCGACAGGGAGGGAGAGGAGCTCTGCGAAAGGTCTGCAAACACACAAAGGGATATGTACCTTTGCGTAGTAGCCACAAGCCCAGTGTCGTGCCTAACTCCTCCAGCCATGGAGCTGACGAGGGATTTCCAGCACTGTCCCAGCCGGCCACTGGCATTGCATCTGGGCAGTTAACCTCTGAGATCAGGCACTGGCTGCAGGCAGATGCCATGCACAGAGCCAAGAGTGTCCCCAGCAGCTGAGAGACTCCACATCAATGCTGATTTCTTCCCTCTAGCATTCATGTCTAGGCAATGAAACCCAACCAGCAAATTTTATAATCCCCAGTTGGCAGGCGGCTGGCACAGGGCTGCACAGCTGGAACGCCTGGGGCTCTGGAGGAGCCTCTTCAGCAGCAACAAACCTTCTCCCCCAGCTCCTACAATCAGTTTGCCCTGAGGACTTCAAGAAGTGGCCAGGGAAGCATTCTCAGGCACCCTGGGAGTCCCCTCACTCTGGGGCACAATGTTACCTGCCTGTCTTTTTAATTTCCATCTCCCAACCTGCTGCCAACAGCTGTGCAGTGACCACAGAGGAAGAAATAAGCCTCTCCATTAACTTGGCTCTCAATGCATTATATCACAAAGGGAAGAGATTAAAACAAGCCAAACTCCACTCACGGGCACGTCCTCTGCCCTTGCAGCTGAGGACACTGCCCAGGGGACGTGGATACCTGGACCCTCCAGGGACAGACAAGCTCCCGTGGCTCCACTCACCTGTGTAGCTGCTTGAAGGCAGCGAGCTGTCTGGTCCTCCACTTGGGTCCGAGGCTCCACTTGCCACCATCACTGCCTCTTCCTCCTCCTCTTCCTTGACCTCAGGTACTTCCTCCTGTAGTTGTTCCATAATTGATCACCCCTCAGTGCCAAGACTGCAATCCCTGTCATAGCTCTGGCATCATCCGCGTCTATCCGAGATGGACCCTACCAGGCTGTTCCTGCTAGCCTGCGGGACAGAGGGAGAAACGCGCAGTGTCAGCTCTGAACGCCCACACAGAGCATCTCAGCAGCAGGGCGATGTGTAACCATGCTAGTCCTGCTCTGCTTTCTCCCTTATCCAGGGAGACAAGTAGAACCCGGGGCTTTTTAAAGGCCACTTGGCACTCTGGTATAAACACCCTGTAGGACTCGAGGAAGCAAAAGCTCACTGGAATCGTATTTAAAGCCCAGCAGACAGAGTCCAGACCACAAGCCAGCCCAGATGCCACTCAGGGACCTGCGTTCCCCAGCCTGCAAGTCCCGTAGCAGAAACAGTGCCCCAGACAATGTCCCCCAGAGTCACTAGCACCCTGGGATGTCACAGTGGTAGTCAAGGCTGGGGTTTGACGGAGCCAACACCACCAGAAAGATTAAGGTAGGGCTGGCTTCACCCTCCATCCCCACCCAGCCAAAGCAGAGCTTAGATTGATGGCAGAGGCTGATCAAGGTGAAGCGGCCCTGTGCCCGTGGGTGGGAGATGCTGGGGGAGCAGGGCTCAGTGCAGCAGCAGGCAGTGGCTGAAAGCCCCCGGCCTGTGCGAGCCATCCGCAAGACCGATCGCTTCCTGCCGGCCCCTGTGCTCACGCTCCTTCCCATTACAGCATTGCCAGTCACAGCATTTGTGTTTATTTTCACTCGTCGTGTTGTAACTGGCCCCAGCTCCTCTGCCAAGAGCCGCTGGGTTGAACGTGTTGCTGTTGCTCCGTGCAGCTGCTGGGCCGTGCTCAGCCACCAGGTCCAGCAGTGTGATCGCGATGGCCACACAATCCAGCTAGTGTCTTAATCCTGGGTTTCCTGTGGGAGGAACGGCCCCATCCTCCCCCCCGCACGCTTCCGCTCCTTGTTTGCCTTAGTCCATCCCAAACAGCCCACAAAAAACTCAAGCCGTGCAAGCGATGCATCACTGGTACCATGACCATTGCAGAACCGTTCCCACCTCCCTCCTAACCATGCCGGATCTCGCCTGAGTGTCCAGCTCACACTGCGACACCCCGGCATGCATTTACCTCCAGATCTTGATTCCTAAACTGACTCTTGCTCGAGTAACTAATATCTCAAGCCCAGTTTATGTAGAGTTGCATCCATTTCCTTAAAGGAGCTATTTTTAAGTGGAGAAATATCCATTAGAAAAGCCACTGAAATCCAGCTTCCACCAGGAAAGCCTCAATTTGCAGGCACAAGTTAAACTGATGCAACACCTTCAAGCCCGCATCAGAGAGAAGCAAGCTACTCGCAGGGGACTCGCACAAGGGCAACCCCCAAGCACTAGGATGGTCTGTGGCCCATGCCCAAGCCCATGCTACAGCACAGGGCTTGCTGGGGGAGGGCAGCAGTGACCCAGGACTCCCTGGGCTCATTCTCCCTCTCGCCACAGACCTTCACGCCTGGCACTTCGAACTTGAGCTGCAGCCAGCTCCTTGGATTCGCTGGAAAGCTGTCAGTGCCGAGCAAGGTCAGAACTCCCTGTGAGATCAAGCAAGCAGCCGAGGGAGAGGACAAAACCTGCAAGCGGGAGGTTGAACGCAAACATATTGCAAAGCCAGGACTCAAGTCATCCCCCAGAGCTTATGTCTCCTGTGGGCGAGGGGGCCTTGCTTTTTGCCCTCCACGCTGGGAATTCAGACTGCAGGACAGACAGTTTTGTTTCAAGGAGAGGTACGTTAGAGGCAACTTGCAAGCACAACTGCCCTGCTCTCCTTTACAGCAGGATCAGGCAGAGGGGTGCTTAAATAAGGGCAGAGCGCTCCCTTCCCGTGCCTCCGCGAGAGCACTAAGGGACCATTGAAGGGCTGTGTTATCCTTGGCCTCCTCTCACACATCCCGCGTGGTGGGACATGGCACACAGGCAGGAAAACCTATTCATTGGAGATGGAGGGTAACGAGCTCGATCGTTTTGAAGGCTATATATAAATGAATGTACAAACATCAGGAAAATGCTTTTGCCTGGAACAGCAGTTAGAGGGGGAAGCTTGTGGCAGGATAAACTAGCCTACAGTGGAAAATACAACCAGCAGCAGCTTAATGAGCTTATTAGCTCTCCCTTGTCTCTGGCATCCAGCACAGGCCACTTGCTTTAAACCCAGTGCAGATGGAACCCTCTGCTTTGCGCCAGATGCCTCATGGCACGTTGCCGTTGGAATAACGTGGGCACATTCCTTCAGCTGCATCCCTGGCATGCTGTCCTCCATCCACTGGGTCTACTCAGGGCCATGTACCTCCTGGGTAGCAACGAGTTTGTGACATGCAGCTTGCTCCCCAAAACCCACCACAGCAACCCCAAAACTGTGCTTGGAGTTGGTCTGGCTAGAGACAGGTGTGCAGGCCCAAGAAGGAGGAAAGCAGAGGGCGAGATGTGCACAGACAGCAACACCACGCTCCAGCTAAGGCTCCCCATGTGCACGCAGGCATTAGAGGAAGGATAATGGTTCAGATCCCACCCTTCAAGAGTGGCTGGAGAGCCAGAGAGAGAAGAGCTTTTACCAGAAGGCTCTGAATGTATTGTTTTAGTATCTCCTTGCAGGCCAAGAGTACAGGGGCCTGGGCAGAGGGAAGCTGTGAGAGCTGTTTGCACACCTGCTTCTCCCTTAGCCATTCCCCTGTTTTCTAAACAACAGAGATAGAGGGAGAGGAGGAGGGAAAAAAGGATTGATTTCACACAGGCTGCACCCCCTGCCTTCAGCAGATGAAAGGCAGGGCATGGGCTGTGCCTGCACACCCCAGTGTGGAGCAAGCTGGCTCGGCAGGGCCCCCGGACAGATGCGGACCCCCAGCCCTCCCCTCTGGGCCAGGGCCAGTGGCGTGGCAGCATGCAGAGACTGCGGAGATTTGCCGAGGTTTCACACATGGCTCCTCCATTCCCCTGTGAGCCTGGTGGTTCAGAGTGAGGTATCCTGGGAAGCTGGAGCTCCCCAGTGGTTTGTCCGAACTCTGTCCCTCTAAGCATGAGGAGGGACCTGCCCTGCCACCACAGCCATGGGCAGGGTCATCACAGCCCTGCATCTTTGTGGGACGACACCAGGGATGGCTGCGTGGATGGCAGAGGATGGCCAAAGGGTCCATCTCAACCCCAGGACCTCTCCACCCACTTGGTGCCTCCACATCCAGCTGCTGAGCAGGCAGGGCCTGAGGAGGGATAACTCGGTCTCCTCTCCTAAGCCATCCGCCAGAGCATACAAGCTTTAAGCTACAGGGAGAAGGGCAGAGATTCCTGCCCGGCATAGCCACCCCCTCTTTCTCTTCAGTCATCACAGGGCAGCAATGGAAAGAAAGGCTGGAAGCAAGGACGGGAACCATGCATTCCTTCCTAAGCTTCTCCAGAGAATCCAGCAAAGCTGTTTCCCTTCCTCTTCCCACAGGATGAGAACGAGCAAGAGGGCAAGCATCTCATGACTTGCTCTGCCCTTGCCTCAATCCCCATTCCAAGAAGCTTCAGTAACCCTGGCTGTGACAGCAGCCTCCCTCCCGGGAGCCTGCAGACGGCAGAGGGTGGGTTTGTTTGCTGGCTCCAGGCTTGGGCAGATGCCTGCTGGCTGCCCTGCTCCCACACTGCAAAACAGCACAGGCAACAGGTTTATCTTTATTAGAAGCAGGGGCTGGCATCTATGCCAAGCTAAACCATACGGCAAGCATCAGGGGAGAGATATGGCACAACAAGAGGAGGAAAAAAACAGGAATAAAAATTAAAAGGAGACAAATCTTCAACGTGGACCCCTGCAAGAAGGCAGTACTTTTTTGGAGCTGACCAAGATCCAAACCTCCAGTTCATCAACCTGCAGCTTGTACACTTTTGTCCTGACAGCTCCTCACCGCTGATTAGCATGTAGACCTTGGAGCCAAGTTCAGAGAAGCAGAAGCTGACAAACCGGCGAGGAAGCGCCTGCTTCCCTGTAGTCTGTGGGCAGGAGGGGTGGCAGGACGATGTGATGGAAAAGCCCAGTTTCTCACCAGTGTTCGAGTACCACATGAGAGCAAAGTGTCACAAAAAGGGGACATGCATTCCAACACAGACACCCAGGCGCTGGCAGCCAGACAGCCACAAAATGAGAGCAAGGAAGTGCTCGTAATTAGAAGGACCTCATCTTTAAACCAGGTGTAGTTTCACTGGTGGTGAGCTCAAACAAGAGGTAATTTCAGTGTGCTCATGGAGGCGGAGGGAGGATGCCTGCCCTCATTCCCCTCCACAAGAGCATACATTTGTTTCTAATATATTTATACAGATGGGATTGACCAAGTCCCTATTGCAGTCTGGAGTGTCACCACACGAGATCCCTCCCTGGAAGATGGGAGTTTCCAGGCAAAGCAAAATGCTAAAAGAAGGTCCAAACCTCCTCCAAGGGCCAAGTCACAGAGCTGATCCGCTCAAAGCAGTTGTTCAAGTTACTGTAAAAGAGGTCACCAGGAATTGTGAAAGGAAACTAACCAACCATGGGAGCACTTCTGGCTTGAATTTTTATTCCTCTGGACAGAAATATTAGCCAAATTCAGAGTCAACAGAAGTGAATCCTTTTGGAAGGGTCAAGATGAGAACTCAGCCCTCTGTACAGCAGCACATATTGAATCCACAAACAAAAATTGAACTGAATCCATAAAAAAATGTGATTGCTGCTTGTTGGCCATCAACTGCAGACATCCCTTGGGTTGTGTCGCTGCTTCCAATATCTGCTGATCGAGTACCAGCTTCTACTTCTCCTCCTACACGTCAGCTACGACTAATAAAAGCCAAATAAAAAAGCTAAGCTGCGATACAGGAAAGGTAACTAAGTGCACAAAACAGGAGACACAAACATTGAAAACATGTTTGGTTTTGTTCCTGAAAGATCAACATACCCCCTCATTAGCTAATGAGATCTCAGCAGCACTTACTACCAAAGTGCTTCCTCCCTTACTCAAAGTCTTGGCCGCAAGGCAGGCTACATGCAGAAATAAACTACTAGAGCTAGCAAGGAAGAGCCCTTCCACACAGCCCTG